CCATGCTCTTAACTAGTAGGCGTGGGGCTACTGCAACTCAGACCGAGTATATGCAGCCGGTTGAGTTGATTGAGATGTGGGGTTAGCTTTCGGTAGACAGTGTCCATGGCCTATAAGTGCTCGTCACTGTCCTCAGCCTGCCTGCCCGCCTGCTCCAGCACACCGTGATGGAGTTCCGCCATATCGGGTGCACTTCCTGTCCTTGCCTGACGCTCCAGTCCCTCAATATTGCCAACATTGTTTCCTTCCCAGTGTGAAGGCCCCAACTTGTCCTTCCGGACCTCAGCGTTGCCAGCACTTCCTGGAGCCAGAACCCCCCAGAGCTGCTTTTGATTTCTCCTCTTCCCAACCAAGCCCTGAGCTTGCTGCCCGGGAGCAGGTGCATCTCCTACGGGTCCACACGTCTTTGTTTTACCTTCTAGAAGTTTGTAGTGTGAGCTGCTGTCCTCTCTGTCTCGAATGGCTAGAGAACCAGTTAATGCAGACATTCCCAACATCCTCTCTTCTGTGTTGTGCGTGGGAGCAGACGCCTTCATAAAACACACGCTGCCACCATGGGCTTCTTAGCCCCACTTGTCACTGTCCGTGGCTTCCTATTGCACTCTGCCTCCTGCCTCCTCCGTGACCTTGTCGCAGGGCCTCGTCTCTGCCTCACTGGCCTCCCTCTAAACTAGAATTCTCTTCTAATTTAGAACCTTCACACCAGTGTTCCCCTCTGCCTGGAATCCCCAGCCCCTAAGTCTTACCTGCCTTTGTTCTTTTTTTTTTTTTTAATGTTTATTTTTGAGAGAGAGACAGAGTGCGAGTGGGGGAGAGACAGAGAAAAAGACACAGAATCCAAAGCAGGCTCTGAGCTGTCAGCACAGAGCCTGAAGCGGGGCTCGAACTCACGGGGTGCGAGATCATGCCCTGAGCTGACGTCGGCCACTTCACCGACTGAGCCCCCCGGGCGCCCTGGCCTTTGTTCTTTGTGTAGCAAATCCACTCTTCAGGGTTAGCATTACAGGTTTCTTCATCGTCCTTCTTTAAGTCTCTGCAACTGCGGTTGTTTCCGTCATGTCTCTGGTCACACTGTCTAGCGATTTGTCTACTTATTGATGATCTGTTTCCCCATCGAGACTCTAGGCTCCATGAAGACCAGACAAAACGCCTCTTGGCTTCACTAGGCCCAGCATTAGGCTGAGGGGCTGCCATTACAGCACACCGGGCCCGTGTCGGGTGGGTGTGTGTGGCGTTGTGGGTGTACATTTCCTGGGGTGCCAAGCCTGGAAGGACCTTGGCGTGTCCTCTGTTTCTGGTTAAATATGTTCTCACGGGAACGTTTGCCTTGTTGACATTAACACGGATGTTCATTTCATACATAGTGGTTGACTGAAGTACCGCAACTCTCACAAGCCTTGTCACGTGGGAGTAAGATGGTGCCCTTGGGGGCGCCTGGGGGGCTCAGTCGCCAAAGCATCTGACTCCTGGTTTCGGGTCAGGTCATGATCTCACAGTGATATCAAGCCCCATGTCAGGCTCGGCGCCCACAGTGTGCAGCCTGCTTGGGATTCTCTCCCTCTCTCTCTACTTTCCCACATGTGCTCTCTCTCTCTCTCTCTCTCTCTCTCTCTCTCAAAATAAATAAATAAACTAAAACTAAAAAATAAAAAAAAAAAGTGCCCTGCAGTGCAGGGAGGCGGATGGAGGGAGAATAAAAGGCAAGAATGGATCATAAGACAAATTAGGATGATGGGTTCTCTGATCCATTCAATTTTTTAAAAGAAATATTTGAGCATTTTGGCTATGGAAAAAAACAACAGGGAAAGAGAAGACAAATAAGAAGCATGAGGAAAAATAGAACCAGTGTGGTTTTTCTCTCTCTCTGTCTCTTTTTTTTTTTTTTTTTTTTTTTTGCCCTCTCATCTGCTGTCTTTTCCAAAAATCATTTTAGGTTTCTTCTGTCACATCCATAGTGAAGTGTAAATTGCAGTTTCCAAGATAGATGGCCATTTTCAGTGAATTTTAGCAAGGAACGGAATTTTATTTGAGACTGAAATTTGGCATCCCTCTGCCTCTTCATGCTGGGAACTATTTTTTGTCTTTACAAAATGCAATGAGACATAAATCCTGTTGCTTTTATTTCTAAATGGTGCTACGGCAAGCCGAAAATGGACTGGGAGACAGGAGCGTCTCCAAGCTCCGGCCAGCCTTGGCAATGCTAATTTATAGCGCCTGTTGTACTCTGAAGGAGAAATCCAATCAGGGTCCTATAAAAATGGGAGGCTATTTTTAATTGTACTCCCTTTCCATCCCCTTCCTCTCCTTGTGATTTTCTTTTCCCCCGGCATTCCTAGCTAAGTAGATTGCCACCCACAGGAAAGCCTGCTACACCCCACGGCTCACATTCGATGTGACACCGTTTGGAAAGCCGGCAACTCACAGAGCATATGGCGGACTTCAGATGGTTTTGAGGGACATTTGGCTCAGGGTTTCTCATAGTGGGAGCACTCCTGGCACGTGGAACAGGCCAGTTCTTTCCTCTGTGGGACTGTCCTGTGCCAGGCAAGATGTTTAGCATCCCCGGGCCGCCAGTGTTTCATGCCAAGTGATGCCTCCAAGTCACAGTGACAAATCAAAGTACCCCCTCCCCAGTTCTAAACATTGCCCTTGGGGGGCCCTACGGTTTTGGGAGAAAAGCATCAAGAGGCTTTTCAATTTTTCTTCAGTCACCTCAAGATGGAGATTCCATATTGTGATCAGGAAAAAAAAAATGTCAGTAACAACATAACTCGGATGTTCTTAAGTGGTAGTAAGTACCGCAGTAATTAGTATCTTTGGAGCATTTATCATGTGCTAGGTGCCGTCAAAGCACTTTGTATGCATTTGCTCATTTGGTCCTCCATGAAATAAGTACTGGTGTTACAGTGAGATCTTCATAATAGCCAAACTCAAATATGTCCAAAGACCCACCCAGGGGTGACCCCGGAACCCCAGAGAAGGACATTGCTGACATCATCAGGAGGATTGATTCTGCGTTGTCTCCTGTGCCTCCTTTTCCCACTTCTTCTCCTTTTTCCTTTCCTCTTTCTCTTTCTTTCCCTGTGTATTAAACAAACAAACAAAAACTACTCTTTCTCAGTGGCTTCTTGCCCCCCATCCAGAATCGTTTAGGCTGGAGAAATAAACTGGATTTTCTATTTGCTGGCTACAGCATTAGCTAATCACAGATCATCACTCAATTTAGAGGGTAGTTTGGGATTTTCAGCGCTGGGGTTTCTGGAGAGTCGGTGAAATTCACTTTGTGGTGGTGGTTGGGTGGAGGATCTCAGGAAGAAACATGGCGACCTTCCAAGGTGGCCAAAATGGGTCCAGCAGGAGGTGCATGTGACCGTCAGCTAGAGGAGAGATGGATCGTATCAGGATGACCCAGTCAGAGTAGCAAATGACGCTTTCAGTGTGAGCCCCAACCCGAGGTCAGGAGGGCAGACGTTTGGAATCCAGGGGTTGACCTTCAGTTGAGTTGCTGTTCCCTGGGCTACCCCATGTGGCACCCTTGGGCGAAACCAGCTGGAGCTTCTTTATTCACTCACACGTTATGACTCTTCTGTGCCAGTGTGTGTGGAGACCTTCTCTGTGCTGAGGAATGGGTGTGCCGGGTGTGTGAGATGTGACCCCAGCTCTCTAGGAGTTCACAGCCTGGGAAATCAAGACATGGACAGCATCATGCCCTTTACAACTGAGGGTGATTTCTCAACCTCAGCACTAACACTGGGGGTCAGATAATTTTTGGGTCAGTGGAAGCCATCTCGCTCATTATAGGACATCCTGTTTCTTTCTAAGACCTGAAGTTTTAGCTCTATCTTTTGTTAGACCTGCTAGGGCCCCTCATACCCTTGAATCAGAGCAGTTTCTTTTTTCTTTCTTTAATTAAAATTTTTTTTAAACATTTATTCGTTTTTGAAGGCAGAGAGAGACAGCGCACAAGTAGAGGAGGAGCAGAGAGAGAGGGAGACACAGAATCCGAAGCAGCTCCAGGCTCTGAGCTGTCAGCACAGAGCCTGACGCGGGGCTCGAACCCACAAACGGTGAGATCATGACCTGAGCTGAGGTTGGACGTTTAACCGACTGAGCCCCCCAGGGGCCCCCAAATCAAAGCACTTTCTTAAACAATGATAGTTACCTCCCTATGAATATTTTTGTTTTGAGCTGATAGGATGTGAGAGTTTCAAAATCTTTGTATTTTGTGTATATACACATTCTTCATAAAATAAAAATACTTTAAACTTAAGGGGCACCTGGGTGGCTCATTCAGTTAAGTGTCCAGCTTCGGCTCAGGTCATGATCTCATGGTTTGTAGGTTTGAGCCCCGCATCGGGCTCTGTGCTGACTGCTAGCTCAGAGCCTGGAGACTGCTTCTGATTCTGTGTCTCCCTCTCTCTCTGCCCCTCCTCTACTCATGCTCTGTTTCTCTCTGTCTCAGTAAGAAATAAACATAAAAAAAATTTTTTTAAACCCTGTCACTACAAAAAGATAGATTGTATTGTGGTTAGCATGTTCTTCTAGTCAAGCTTTCAGCTACAAAGACTAGAGGTACTCTGAACTTGAATTCGGCCAGTAAATGGGCCCAGAGGGAAGGTAGCTGGGAGGCGTATGGTGCTTGGAGGCCTTGGAGTTGGTGACTCAAAGGGTAGAAAGTTGCCTGTAGTAGAGGTTGACAGTAGCCAAGGCGTTACGATGTCAGACCACGGGACAGAGCCAGGAGAATGCCAGCTGCAGAGGGTACAGCTCCCAGAGCCACATGGCTCTGCATGTCATTGTATGTCCTTGGGGCCTGGCTCTGAGGCAAGTCCTGTTTGCCTTAATTCCCTTTGTAGTGTTACGAGAAACCCTAACACCTGAGGTAACATGAGCATGAGCCTGGACCTCCCAACTGGGAAAACAGATACCTTGATGACATCAATTTGTAGTGTATAATTGTCGGGGAGGGGAGAGAGGAAAGAGGAGAGACACTAGCTCACCTTTGGGGCAAATCCTTGCTTTGTTGAAGTTGATGAAACATTTGAAAGGTAATCTGTTGAAGGAACTGGAAATCTCTGGGCACAGGCTGAACCGCCATCGGGAGGCGGTCTTGAATTGTTGAGGAAGTTACAGAGGTTCATGAGAAAAAGTTTGCCTCTGATCTGAGTCAGTCAGTGGATTATTCATGGGCAGATAAGCAAGACCTAGCCAAGACAATAAGAGAAATAGTCAAGTATTGGAAGGGACTCCTTTCATATGTCATCTTCTCGAGGAAGGCCTTTTGGACACCTTTCTTCCCCCTTTAAGAATTTTGTCTCTACCATCCTCTGCAAACTTCTATTCTCCTTTACACTGCATTGGATTATAATGATCTGTTTACCCATATGTCACTTCGCGGGGCTCTGGGAACCCGAGAGGCAGGGCCTGTGTCTAATTCATCTTTATATCCACAGCCTCTAACCAATAACCTCCATATAATAGGCGCTCAATAAATTGTTGAGTGAATGAATGAAGGAATTCACTCCTAAGACTTACCCGTGTTCTTTTTAAGGAGGGGGAAAGAGTTCATTTTAACTAGAATATAGGTTTTCTTCCCCAAAGAACATATTGATAAAGAACAGCTACTGATTTCTTCTGAGAAAGACAAATGATAGAACAGTCCCCCATGCTATATTTCAAACTTATGTCAACTTTTCTTTAAAAAAAAAAAAATGTCCGTCCACCAGCACTCATATCATTTTTCAAATTTCATGTCATCCTTTTTCAGATGCTGCCCATGCATCATTTTAGGCAGGGAGTATCCATCATGATAGAAGCTAAATGATTTTCAAAGCTGCCAGGGGGTGGACACCAAAAAGGTCCCCATTTCATCTGCACAGAGTGATCCGGGGCTGGTGGCCAGGACCCTGCTGGAATAGGAAAGGCAGTGTCCTGGGAGTGCTTCTCAAATGAGTTTCAAATGGAACAGAGGAAAAAAATACATTCTAGAAGGTAGATATCAATTCTCCACATAGAATGTCACGCATGACACCCACCAGGATCATAGTTAGGCAATAGCTTCTTTAAAGAACAAGGTTTTAGGTAAAAGTTTGTGTGTCTCATGCCTATGTTTTCCTTAAAAATATGTCTCGATATTGTTTTGTCTAATTTTTAAGGGAAATCATGTTTACTTGCAAAATATAGAAAAAGGTAAGCAAGAAAATAAAATTTATGAATTATCCCACCAGGCAGAGATAGCCACGGTGAATACTGTTTCTGGTAAATTTTTCCTCCAGACACACACACACATACACACAGACGTATATGTATCTATACACATTTATTTATTTTTATTTTTAATTTTTTAAATGTTTTATTTGTTTCTGAGAGAGAGAGAGAGAGAGAGAGAGAGAGAGAGAGACAGCATGAGCAAGGGAGGGTCAGAGAGAGAGGGAGGCACAAAATCCCAAACAGTCTCCAGGCTCTGAGCTGGCTGTCAGCACAGAGCCTGACGCAGGGCTTGAACCCACGAACTGTGAGATCATGACCTGAGCCGAAGTTGGACACTTAACCGACTGAGGCACCCAGGCGTCCCTCTATACGTATTTATACGTGTATATGTGTGTGTGTATACCAGAAATAGTTTTGATAAATTTGGTGTTATATTTTTTATGGAGTTTTCTATCCTGACTGTGTCACTAAATTATACCCTAAACATTTTCCTATGTCATTAAGTATTCTTTGAAAACACGATTTTTCAAGGCTACATTATATTTGATTTTATGGATATACCATAATTTATTTATCTCTTGTAGCCATGCTGATTGGCCTGGCTTTTGGCCATGTGGTATTTTATTTATTGTGTTTTCCCTGTCTTTCAGCTTTTTTCGTGTTTATCATCTACATAATTCTCAAGAATCATAATCTTATCTTTTTATTAGAATGTCAAAGATAGGTAAATGGATTTTGTTTTTATACCGCACAAAGACGCAACCTAAAAGAAGCTTTTTGGTCCCCTCTTAAATCAGTAAGAGCTATTATATACGTTCACGTTTATAAGATAGATTAAATTCTGTCAATTAAATGAGTGTGCTTGTATTTCTTCCCCGTTTACCGATGTGTTGTGGGGTGAGGTACATGTTCTCACTGTAGATCAGAGGAGGCTACAAATATGTCCAGAGCGTGTACCCAGAAGGTGTTTTAAAGGAGTGAATAGAACAGTGGCTCAGCTCTTGCCAGGTTAGAATCTTAGCCCCGCCACTGGCTTGCTGGGTAAACTTGGGGACATCTCTTTTGGCCTCTAAGAACCTCAGCTTTCTCACGTGTGTATTTGCTCGAGACAGTAGCATCTAAGATTTTGCAGGTTAGATGTAAGGATTATTTGCGACAAAGCACACAGAGTACTTAGTGTGGGGGGCCCCAAAACAGGGAGTGTTGTTAGTATCTATCCTGGTTTCTACCTGGTTAAATGTGAGAGGTTTCTCTTTTGAGGAGGAGATGTGAGAAGCCTTGCCTAGTTGACTAGGGAGTCAGAAACATAACCCTTTTTGAGTAACCTGGTATTTGGGATTTCTTTTGAATTTTCACAGCTTTATTGAGGTGAAATTTACCTACCATAGAACTCACCCATTTAAATGTGCAATCCGTTTGATTTTTAGTGAAGTTGTGGAATTGTACACTTACTACCACAATCCAAATATTGAGTAGACTCTGAGATACAAGATAAAGGAGGTCTTTCTCAACAAAAATGTGAGCTGTCTCATTGTTTAGTTAGAGGAGCTTAACTGGCCATGAGTTACACCTGAGAAGTGTCACCCAGACTATACGACCAGTCATACATAGTAAATATATGTATTGTTCATTAAAAAGGGAACTAGGTAAGGCTGAGTGTTTTTGTAAAGAACTTCTTCTGACATCATTTCTGACTTAAAGAAAAGAAGCAAGAATAGTACAAAGCATCCCTAGTTATAGGTTACTGTGATTCCCCAAATATTGAATATTTTACTATATTTCCTTCTTTCCTTTCATGTGCTCTCTCTAATATATCTGTATATGCATCTATGCCCAAATCCAAATCTATATCTATATGTTGTAGACATACAGCCTATGTATATGTCGATATTATCCGACAAATGTATAGCTAGATATGTGTATATGCATGTATATCATACATAAATCATATATATATATATAAAATTTTCCCAGAACTATTGAGTAGTAAGATGCAGAGATGATGTTTCTTTATCCCTAAAAACTTCAGTGTGTATTTCTAAAAAAACACCTTCTATTATTCTCTATAATAATCGTAATTAGAAAAGTAAAATTTAGATACTACTGCTAATATACAGACTTCTGTCAGATCTTCCCAATAATGTTCTTGTTAATCAAATAAAATCTAAGATCAGGTGTTCTTTATAATGAACTGAAATTTAAAATCAAACATAAGTTTAATGCCTTTATAGGCTCAGTACCTTAAAAATGGATCAAAGAGCATGCCTACTCTTGGTTATATTTACTAACTCACATAAAAGCCATTTAAAAGCCCTTCCTGGTCAAGTTAGATTTAAAACTACAATACTTTCTGTTTTACCAGGCAAGGAGAATTTCTTCTTGGTATTCTCAGAAGCTGGCCATGCCTGGCCTGTGGTCAATGATTGGTACATGGCTGTTAACGGAACATGGAAAGAAATCAGGTTTAAAAGTAATTTCTATATCATCAAAGAGCAAAGGTATTTTAAGCTTGATTCATCTGAAGATTGCATTCATTTTATTAGAGAATGCATGAGCCAGGGAGGGGCAGAGAGAGAGATGGGGACAGTGGCTGACAGCAAAAGGCCTGATGTGGGCCTTGAACTCATGAACTGCAAGATCATGATCTGAGCTGAAGTCGGACACTAGAGTGACTGAGCCACCCAGGTGGCCCTGTATTTTCTAATTGAACTTTAAAAATTGAGGAAGACGTATAGAAATGGCTTTCTGTTACTTGGGTGCCACTGGCGAATTGTGATGGGATTAATAGTAATCATTACAGAAACCTCAGCAATGAGACCAGCTCTAGCACCTGTGGCAGTAGACTAAACTTTCTGTTAATCAGAACCAGTCCTTCTAGAATCTGCAAATGACCTTCAGTCTCAACCTGAGGATACCTTTGATTGGGGTGCCTGGGTGGCTCAGTTGGTTAAGCATCTGACGTCAGTTCACGTCATGATCTCATGGTGTTGGACTCCGTGCTGCTAGCTTGGGATTCTCTCTCTCTCCCCATCTCTCTCAGCTCCTCCCCCACCTTCTCTCTCTCAAGATAAATAAATAAACCTAAAAAAACCCAACAACCCTACACCTTCTCAGACAAGGATTTGAGTGCAAGTAGTTTGTGTGGAAGGTGATCTGGAAAAACACTGGTAGGAAAATGGATAACAAATGAAGGGGGCTTATGTATCTAACAGGTCATGACTGTGGGTAACCAGGCCTCCCCCACCAGACAATGGGGAGACAGCACAGAGCAAACTTCTTCCAACAGAGAGACCCCGGCAATGGAGTATTATCCACCAAATCCCAATCGTTAGTGGTTGAGAGCTGCTTCCAAGAAGTATTAAGTCGCCAGCATGTCCACGCCACCCCATGTGAAGGGCTGATAGCTTCTGGTGGCTTCAAAAGCCCTGTTGCAAGGACACTCAGGTGCTCGATGTTGGAATCTGTCACATGAGTGCACAGGGGCATGGTGCCTGCCTAGCTCTGTAGATGGAGCACTTGATGCTCCTCCTATGCTTCTCATTCTTTCCATTTAGAACTACTTCTGATTTGGAACCAAGTTTAAGGTAATGATGGAAGCATTTTCAAAATTGTATATTTATTGTTTAAGAAAATTATGTTTATTAAGAGTCAAGCCTTTCTTTATTTCTTTCCTTCCTCCCTTCCTTTTTTCCTTCTTCCCTCCCTCTGTCTCTCCTTCCTTCCTTCCTTCCTTCCTCTTTCTTTCTTTCTTTCTTTCTTTCTTTCTTTCTTGCTTGCTTGCTTGCTTGCTTGCTTTCTTGCTTTCTTGCTTTCTTTCTCTCTTTCATGAAATGAAAATGTAAAAATCCTTCTGTGTGCTAAGCCCTCCCAGCTTCCACTCGGAAGGGGCAGGAAGATAATTTCATTACATCTAACTAGTAGTGGAGAGAGGGAAGCTAACTCCAATCGCTTGAGGGAAGGAGTAAATTAAATGCTGATGACATTGACCAGGCAGGAAACTACATTCATTGATTATTTTAATTTTCTCTCTTCTGCACTCAGTTAAACACCCATAGCAGTGGATTTCAAGGTAACTAAAAGGTTGTTTAAGCACATTTTTAAAAGAGTCACGAATAAGCGGGAAAAAAAATCTCTCTCAAACCAAAGCAGAAAAGCGGCACGGATGCGTGCATTATGCATGTAGGGGCACACGGATACTTCCGCCTGCACCGTTGTGTGTGCTCATCAGAAGGGGTGCGTATGTCTTCCAGCAGAAGGTACAAAAAGAGAGGATGACCAAGTAGAATACTTACATCAAAAGGGAGAAGTGGCCTGTCCTGGTTGATTGTAGCCTTGTCTAAATTTTAAAACAATGACATTTTGCGGTGGGGACAAACAAAAGCTTCAGGAGAGGCAGGTAAAATCAAAGGGAGAAAGTTTACTTCTGTAGTTCCAGCCTCTTACACTTCCACTGGCTTTATCTGAAAAAGGAGCTCCGCCTGCTTGGACATTTAGATTGCGTGAACTAAACGGTTGAATGATATTTTCGAAACGCCTAGCTGGCTGTTGAGTTTTCGTGGGGATTACACTGAATCAGACATAATAAGCAAAGTTAAAAAATTAATAACGAAACAGCTTAGGTTGGGATGAAGGGTCTTTCCAAGAGAAAACAAATCCAACCGCGTGCCACTTAAATATACTTTTCTGTTTCCCCTGTCTAATAATATGCGGG